TGGGTATGATTGGGCACCGCTGGAATTGCAAGATTTTTCTTCATACGCGATGGTTCAAACCTAATTATTGCGTTAAGAAGGCTATATATTTTTGTAAATTTCCTTGTTGTGAATGAGCTTCAGGTGAATGAAGAATATTGGTAATGGCTCTTTCGTGATTCTGTGCTTAATATTATGTACTTGTGGCACTTCTCTTAAATATATTTCGATGTCTCCAAGATATTTGCTGAACTGTGCATTTTTCTGAGGACTACTCTGAACAGTTTTACTTCTTTCAGTTGGTATGAATGAAATAATGTATTATTATTTCTAACATGTTGTACCAGAGATCTGTAAGCATTGGCAGATGAAGACATTATTCTGCAGTCATTATCGTTTGTTAACTTATAACTATTCAGTTTTGTATCGCTTTTACCGTTCATTTCCTGAATTAAGGTTACTCCGGTATAATTGATGAGGCTTTGGCTCATGCTTTTTACTGGATCACGTGCATGATCTTCCATGCAACACTGCTTAGATCTTGAAATTAGTTTGTGCACTGATCGGTGTGTGCTTCACATTACAATTACCCTCATTGTTTTTTTCGTTTTGTTTGACGATACTTCATTATTGCCATGTATTCCGTGTTCTGTGTTACCTTACTTGTGTCATTATTCTGATTCTCTACAACATCAGTTCGAGGCGCTGATGCTGCGACATTAGTTGTGTCGCAAAGCTAACACTTGGTGGTCATTTATAGCGTTGGCTGTTTTGTACTAGCGTTTGTAGAGTCTGAAGGTCCATCAGTTGCTGTTGTAATTGTTGCAAATGTTGGTGCTGTTGTCGTTCGATGATGAGTTATTGATATTCAAAGGAGCTGGGCAAAGGATCGTTAATAGTCTGAATCGCTTTTAAGATGATCTGTCCGAGGTCAGAGTACGTCAGTTCAGTTACGCTAATGTTCAACACTAGTTTCACAGTTTAAATTACTACAAATTAAACTTCAATCATTCACATAAATCATAAATCAAGGCATTCGTTATACACTAATTGTTTTAATATTACTGTTAATGATTCACTTATTTTATTTTCACTGCAAAGCACAATATTTGAACTATGGCACTTGTTATCACGAAGTACGATGACGTTACCAGAGCTGTAAACACGTCTGTAGAACACCGCTGCGAAGCGAGAACTTTCGAAATAGAATGATGTATTTACGTGTTTGCTGTGTCTTTTAGTATTAAATACAAATGAAATTAATATAAAACACAATAAATACGTATATTCTTAATATATGAGTTTTAATATTACACGTATAAGTAATTACATCGAGAAGGCCTCCTTTTATTAAGCATATAATACTGTATCCTTTTGAATTGAATTGAATTTGCCTTATTTTACGTGGCGAGACTTGAGCCATCAGGCCCGTTCTTCCGTCTGATCACGCAAATTTTGCTACGCTCCTTTCACCAACTAGGAGAGAAAGGAGGTATTTCTTGGGCGAGAAACAGGCGATTTGAATTTAGCTCAGAGGCGTCATTTAGGCTTGAAGATCTTTTACATGCAAGTAAATCTACGAACATGGGACAGCCGGCTTTACTTCCCCTCCGAAGGAAGGCGTACGAAGGATTTTTTCAATAATATTACAAAAAGTAAGGTCCAATGAATTTTATTGCCAATCACCTTATTCTTTCTAGTTAGCTACATATCGTAACGTTCCAGAGATATACTTTCTTTATCTTCAGACACTGAAATAGGACAGTTAAAAATCAACATATTGTAAAACCAAACATAACAAGTTTCATTCTAAAACACGGCGCTCATACATTGTTAATACATTCCTATTTCCATATAATAAGCAGACATACCACTAGTCATGTACATGTTGTAGAAAAGAGTTTACTTGTTGTGAATTGGCGGTAGTCTGCAGCGTCTAAAAATTAGACCAAAAGAAAATAAACAGCATTGATATTTGGATAGGGTTAACAATCAAATAATTCTAAAATTATTGCGTTGTGTCGGTAGGAAGGCTGATTAAAGTAACGCTCTCACGAAGCATTGCTTTCAAACTGCCCACCAAATTGATTTTGGTAATCCAGCTATTCTAGCGCAAGAAAATAACTATCTTCTAAGACTTTGGCTTGATAAATTAAACATAAAACTCATAAGAACTCTATAAGAGAAATAAATGCTGTTACTAATTACTACGATAACATATTGGTAAACCTCCAACAATAGCAACTCATTTCTGGAATACTCATGCACCTTTTACCTTTCTCTTGATCCACTCCCTCCCATCACTCTTACACATTCACCCCCCTTTCCTTCCCTCCTCACCCATTGACCTGTCCTCACACTTTTCGCGCCAACTTCAGTGGCAAGGCTACTCCGACTACCGACCTGGTTTGGTTGACGTGAGACAAAGTTGGTGGTTGATGATTACCCTTCATCTCGTGTTCACGTTCATTAGCTTCTACTTTTAGTAGAGTTCTTTGTAGATCTAGATTATACGTGTTTTTGTGAATGAGAATTTGTTTGGGTATAGTGTTTTAAGATATGAATTTATAATTTGATGACAACCTTTAGAATCATTACTGCTTGATGTAATTATTTTCGTGTTATGTTTACTGTTAACCTTATCCAAAATTACTGTTTATTTCAATTTTTTTAAAATCTTTAGACGATGTAGACTACCCCCTACTCACAACAAGAAAACGATCTAAAATACTACATGACTGGTAGCATGTCTACTTATTAGATGTAATTAGTAATGTATTAAGAATGTACGTGCGCCGTGTTTTAGAATTAAACTTGTAATGTTTGGTTTTGCAATATGTTGATTTTTAATAGTTCAATAACAGACAGTCTGACGCTAGAGAAACTAAACTTCCGAAACGTTACTATATGTATCTACTTAGAAAGAATAAGGTGCTGGGGAATAAAAAATCATTGGACCTTACTTTTTGTAATATTATTGAATAGTTCCATGACGATCTGTACCCTTTTGAACTGTATCCTTTTGTCCGGTTGTCCTAACAATGCATATTCCTTACCTCTAAGGGTCTTGTAAGCAAACAATCATACATCCTGGAAGTTAGCAGGACCATTTTATTGAATCATAAAACTGCATATCCGTAATTTGTCTCTTTTCTGCCTTAGCTGAATCACACCTATTAATCCGCTAAAATGCAAGTATATACACAGAAATGTATTCCAAATTTGCCACTTTTTATTTATAAAAGATTTGTGAAGAAATCAAATAGATATCTCCACAATTTCAAAAACTATTAACAATTAAACGAAAATTAAAAGCCACTTTCCTCTTGCTAGCTCCTTCAAAAAAAAGACTTTCCCTGTAAACCATCAGCCGTATTAATTCATACTATTCGATAAATTTTGCCGTAAACAAGAGCTTAAATAATAAACAGCAATAAGAAAAGTTTCGCGGGTCGGTTAGGTTCAATTACCCAGCTTCGAATCCCAGATTTCGTCCTCTTAAAAGAGTTCCACGCAAGTTAAGAAGTCTGTAACTCCTAAATCAGCCTTAACAATTCATGATATGAGACATTTGCCGTAAACCAGTGTTTAATATAGACTTTAATAAAAAAAATTGCCCCGGATTGGTTCGTATCATTTACCAGGGTTCGAATCCAAGAGCTGCCCTCTTACGAGAGCCCTGCGCAAGTTAGGAAATCCGTTTCTGCTACACTATTAGCCATAACAGTTCATACCCCACATCAAAATTTGTCGCAAACAAGCACTTAATATAATCTGTAACAAAAACATGTGTCGTGGACCGGTCGGATCCAATTACGAGGGTTCGAATTTCATGATGGTTCTGGCGGAACCACGTTTATTTCGCAAGCAGGGTGCACCAAAGAGGCATAGTTCTGGAATTCGAACCCGATAATAGAAACTAACCGGCCCGTGGAAATTTTTTATTTCTGATTATATTTAGTATTTGTTTAGGGCGAATTTTCGCGTAGAGTAAGCATTGTTAAGGCTCATGGATTAGGAGGAACAGTCATCTTAATGCTCTCGTAAGTGGGCAATTCTGAAATTCGAACCCTGGTAATTGAAGCTAACCGGAGCGCGGCAAATTATTGTATCACAGGATATATTTAGCACTTGTTTAATGCAAAATTCAGCTTAGAGTATGAGTGGTTAAGACTGCTTGTTTAGGAGGAACTGTATCTTTTTCTTGAGCAAGGTGCTCTCAAGAGGTTCATTTTTGGATATCACATCCGAATAATGGAAAGTAAACAGTCCACGGCAATTTTTTAGTTACATTTTATATTTTGCACTTATTTACAGCAAATTGTGACTTAGAGTATAGATTGTTGTGTCTCGTGGTTTAGAAGGTAAGGGCTTCTTAATTTGCGCAAGGAACTCGTATGAGGGCAATTCTGAGCTACAAACCCTGGTAATTAAAACTAACCAGTGCGGTATATAAAATTCTTAGTAGAAAAGGAAAAAAGGAAGGAATACTGTAAGTTATTTCATTTCATATTTCATGAGAAACATTGCAACAATAATTGTTTGAAAATAAGTGGTTACACCCAGACTTTTTATTAACTGAAGATTTTTAAGGTATATGTAGTTATTGTTTTTGTGCAGTGTTCTTGAAATTAAGGAACAAGTACTACAAAAAAAATTTTCAATGCGCCTGAGTTACACAATTACGCACCAAATAGTGACACAATCAAATTAATTCAGAGAAGGTGAACATTCGTCAAACGTTAATAAAAAAGAAAATATTATTTCTAATTTGCTTGACATTAAGCCATAGAATCGAAGTGTGCGAACATACTTTATTCTTATTAATCGCACATTTTGACTATCTACTTTCTCGTGTAATCCCCATTCTCGGCTTATCGCGGCTTACCGATTGTATTCCCGCCATTATGTACCTCCTTGCGCTGTGCTATCGCTTCAGGAGCAAAGAGCTCCCGGGCGCTACCCCTCAGAGCACTTGTCTGGACGGCCTTGCGACACCGTCCGTCCTGCAACTTCCTCACCTGAAAGGCCTCGCCCTCCTGCGCCCACTCAGCGCTCCTCCACCTCCGTCGGCGCCGCTGCTCGATGCCGCTAGCGCTCCCAGGGGTCTGTATACGGCGGACGTGATGCCGAGGGCGGGCGCCGGACGAGCAGTGGTGGTGGCGGTGGCGGTGGCCCCGGGCGCCACATCAAACGGCGGGCGCGGGAAGTAGATGTCCGTGGAAGGTCGCGGTGGTGCTTGGCGGTCGGCGGGTGCGAAGCGCAGATCACTGTCGGCCAGCAGGTTCACCTGCAGAAGAGGGTCCCAGTCCGCTGAAATATCTACTAGATGTTTGTTAATGACTTTCTGACTCTTGATAAATAACGCATCGTTCAACAACAGATTGAGGTTTTCCTTCGCATAATAAACTACGTTATTCTTTAAACACATTGTTACATAGTAATTTCTAGTAAAAAGTAAAGAAAATAGAGAGTGAAGAGAGCAAAAAAATACTTCAATATTTTTAATAGCTTCAATTTTCCACTCCCCCACACCAGACTAACTGTAAAATAATGGCTTCTTTATTTAATATGGATGTTGATCTATGTTACATCAATCTGTACTCATATATGACCACGTTGCCTGAGTGTCATCTGCACTTAATCAGTAATATTAAAAACTTGTTAAAAATACATTTTACTAATAATTATATTACTTGTGTTAAGGTTTTAGGTTATGCTTTCGTATTAATGTGGCTTGAACTATTGAATATGGAAAGTTCCCCCGAAACTGGAACTATAGTTATAAGTGTACAATGTGTTCAATACACAAATTTTACATATTCTGATCTGATTACCTGATTCACATCCGTAATATTTCAATAGATATTACCAATGCATTTATATATCTGTTATTTTAATAATACCTAAATATAATCCATCAAACGTCACCCCCGCATTATAAAATTAGCAGTCCCCTAAAGAAGAGTCGTAGGCGAATGCTCAATACCGGCAGGATCATTCAGAAATGAGAAAAGAAATCCAAGTACATGTTTGATGTTAAATCCAAGTGCGATGTTTGAGCGAATCCTAAACATGATACCCGATAATGTCTAGACAAAATCACAACGTAGACAAGCGAATAGCACCTCTCCGCGCTTGCACTTGGAACGCGCGAAGTGCAATCTTCAAAGCCCAGCAAATTGAACATTTTGCAGAAGAACTGCAACTCGATATATTGGCTTTACAAGAAACGTGGCTCAGTGATGAACACGAATTCAAACTCCGGGGATTTGCTGTGTATCGCCGAGACCGCGCTGGCAGGCCAGGCGGCGGAGTAGCAATCGCGCTGCGCCGAGAACAGCCGCAGCTTGAAGCCGAAATCCCTGCTATTGCTCTGGCGTCTCTAGAGGCGGTCGGGGTGTACGTCTGGGTAAGAAACAGCCGACTACTAGTCGTATCTGTCTACAGCCCAGACCAAACTTTAGATCCGGCTGGAATTGATGCGCTTCTCGAACTAAATTCCAAAGTTATCCTTCTGGGGGACTTTAACGCCAGACATAGAACTTAGGGCGGCCTCGGAGCAAACAGAAACGGCAACAAAATTGACAATCTTGTAGCGAAAAGTCGGGGCGTAGAGATCTGCGCACTGAATAGCCCCGCGCATTTCCCGGAAGTTCGAAACAGGAACCCGGGCGTTAATGATTTTATAATTGTGAAAGGTATTAAGTGTTTGGTTCCTCGCTCAATTGCCGTACTGGAGTAACTTGCATTGTGGCGTCCCTTGCAGCGAAACTACATGATAGTTTTCGAACTACTCGTGACACGAACTGGGCAGGTTTCGCAACACAGCTGAATTCTCAGTTTGAGCAGAAACCAGTAAATACGAAAGTCGAGATCGACGAAGCAGTGAATCACTTCACTGTAACATTGAAATAGTCTTTCAAGCGAAATACAATTGTCACGCGTGTAGAGAATTCTCCCCCTGAGCTCACAGATGAGCAAAGAAGGATCTTAAGAGAATTGCGCATAATTGTCAAAGTTCATCGCCGCTATGGCGATCCCGTTGACGGAGAGCGGGCGCTCAATCTAAGCAGAGAATTCCGTTCATCTCTACGGGCTGAGAGAGCTGCTGAATGGTCTGATACTATTTCGAAATGCAATCTCAATGAGAGGCACATTTGGGATCTTTCTCGTGCGCTGGGCCGCAAACCGGGAGTAAACTGCCCGATTCAGAGCAACGCCGGGACGAGGTCGCCCGGCGCTCCACCACCTCGGCCCGTTTACGCGTGGGACGACACGACAAAAATCAAAATCTTTGCGAATTCGCTTGCGTTGCAGTTTTGCGCGCTCGAAACGGGCGCCGCCTCGTTGCCATTGACCGCCACCGCTGTTGGTGGTACGCCAGTGGCGCGTGCGGTCAGCAGAAATACCATTGGCCCGTTGCCCTCTCACACCTCGGCACGTCCTGTGACGGGAGAGGAGCTTCGAGCTGAGCTAAAACACCTCAATGCGAGGAAGACAGGTGGCCCGGACGGTCTCACCGCTGCGCAGCTGCGCGCTCTGGGCGGGCGCGGAGTCGAGTTTTTACTCGATCTCCTGAATGCGTGCCTGGCGTGCGGCTATTTTCAAAAGGCGTGGAGGATTGCGACCATTGCACTAATACCAAAAATAAACTATTCCCGAGCAGTTATAGACCTATTAGTCTACTCTCCATCGTCAGGGAAAACGTTTGAGAGACTGATCCTGTCACATTGGCAACAGGAAATACGTTGCCTCAATCTTCTCAAAGATTAACAATTTGGCTTTCGGGCTGGTCACAGCTCCGCGCAGCAGCTTACGTGGCTTTGCAAGGAGACCGGCCTTGCCCTCTAGAGACGGCAGAACCTGCCAGCGGTCTTTTTGGATATGCGGTCGGCTTTCGACTCTGTGTGGCATGCGGGTTTGCTCGAGTGCCTTGCGTAGGCGGGAGTGAGCGATTGCTACGTCAGACTGATCGCGAGTTTTCTCTCTGACAGGTAGTTCAAAGTGCGCGTCAATAACGTATACCTGTCCCTCAGACGAGCCGAGGCAGGCGTGCCTCAGGGGAGTGTTCTTTCTCCTACCCTCTTCGGCTTATACGTGAATGACGCGCCGCTTCCTGCTGAAACAAGAACTGGTATTCAAAACTGCGGACTCCTGATGTTCGCGGCTGATTTCGCGTACTACGCGAAATCGGCGAACGGAAGGCAGTCAGTTAAATACTTAAGTGATTGTCTCGCCGCCTTTCCTGAATGGCTAAGTCGGAAACGCCTCGCTCTCAACCTCGAGAATTATGCGTCGCCGTCAACTTCACTCGTAAGAGGGCTAACCCCAATGAAACGGTGAGCTTGGCTGGCAAGCATTTACCTTGGCGGAGCGAAGCGAGCCCAAATTATGGGCGTGCTACTGGACAGCGGCCTTCGCTGGCATGCGCACGCTCGGTATCTCGCTGCCAAAGTTAAAACTCGCATCCTCCTTTTGAAACCTCTTCTCCGTTCTCCCGACCTAGCAATTCCTCTAAAGCGCCGCTTATTCACAGCTTGCATGCGTCCCTTGTGGGCGTACGCTTGTGAGGTTTTCACGGCAGCTTCTCCCTCCACTCTGCACCCCATCCGGGAAGCAGAGAAAAGAGCGGCGCGCTTAGCGGAATGGCGATGGCGATGGCGATGGCGATAGTAATTCATTTCCAAGCGAATTATATTGACAGTGTACAACAACCAACACCATAAAAAACAATAAAAAAGAATACCAATTTTGTTTGACTACTTTACATACATTATACATCCTGTTTAACCTTTCGGTATAAATTCTGGTCTGATCAGGTGTAAACTTTAAATTTAAATATAAATGTATTTATTACATTTATTTTACTTTATTCAGTACACTTCAAACCCTCTCTAAGTACTTTATGTGCTTGTCAGAGAGGGGTGTTTTACATTGTACGCTTGTTTTGTTCTGTTTTTTTCTTTTTATCTTTTTTGTATTAACGTTGTTGATTATAGTTCACTCATCATCAGTACTGTTTGACGTGAATTGTTGTTTTGGAATTTTAATTTTTTCCAAGGAAAGCAACAGGTAGGAAGAAATCAAAGTCATCCAATTATCTAGAATAACAAATAAATTGTAAATAAAAAGATATGTTAGTAGGCAACTGGTTAATATGAAAACTAAGTTATACTTAATAACCATTTT